CCTCATGTTGCACCCCATCTCCTGGGCCGTTGCTGGTGGCCATCCCATGATGGGGGACCCCTTATACCCCCTGTTCCCATGTCCCCCCATTTTCTGCTCAACGTCATTATCTGCAGCTGTGGGCCAAGGGTTTTTCTCCATCTTTTTTTTACTGAGCTCGTTCCAACCCCCTCGGAGCAGCCTGGCCGGAGGGTCCACCCCACGTTTCAGATGTTAATGAAGGGTTTTCAGAAGGTTAATGGTGGTCAACGCCCTGGAGACTAGGTCATGCTGGCGTAGGTGTGGGTTGTCCAACCACATCGCTGCAGGTGGAAACACCTAAAAATCAGAGCTCTGCTCTGCTGGATACAAAGCAGTTCCTGTAGGACATCTGCTGGGCATGTTCATGAGGACATAGGGCATCCATCATCCCCACACCTGGCTTTCCCCATAAATCCCTTGCGAGGGTGCCCCCATGGTGGACCCAGATGTGCTCTGCCAGATGTTGTAGGAGGGAAGGACCTTTGAAGGCTGCTGCTACTGCAGATGTTGGCTTGGAAGGGTGAGAGGACCCTGGCTCTGGGGCATATTTTGGGGGAAGCTGTACAGGGTTTGGGGTCGGGTGGTCTTGGCATGGACAGAGGCTGTCCCATGGTCTGTGTCCTCCTCTGAGATGGGACAGGAGGCTGGTTGGAGAGGGGACAGCCGTGTGTGGGCTCACTGGTTCCCTACTGGAGAGACTGGTTGGACACGGTTGGGAGCCACAAGGCTTTAATGCCTGAGCTCTTGCCTGTGGGACACATCCTGGCACGGCGCAACCAGGGGGACCTGGCTTTGTGGCGGGGGTCACAGGGCTCTAGATACCCCCAACTCCCTGTATGAGCTGGGACAAGGTGCTTGGACCCCTGTTGTGGCCCAGCAGTGTGTAGCACGGTGGCTACCAGGAACAGGGACCACCCTGGAGCATTATCTTCCAGCTAAGCCAGATGGTGCATGAGCAAGCCCTGCCTGTGATCCTCGTGTGCCAAGGCAGGGGATGTCTCCATGTTCTTCTTCCCCATCTGGTCCTCGCTCCTCCAGTTTCATAGCGAGTGGGATGCATGGCACAGCCCAGCCCAGCTCCTGCTGGAGGTGTTGGCCACAGTGGGGCAAGTGAGGCAGGTTATGAGCCTCAGGAAGGATTTGGCCTTCTAAATTGGGTTTTCATGAGATATGCACCATCAGCCTGAAGAACTTCATCCTTGGGGGATGATTCCTCCCTTACCAGCTTGGATGGAGATGTCCAAGGTAGTTCAAGGTGGGTCCTGTCCTCACCGCTTAGTTCCATGGTCTTCCCAACATCCTGAAGGACACCAGCACACCATACTGGTTGGGCTGAGGAGGAGGCAAGGCCTGAGAAGACCTTCCTCGTCCCGCATCCCTTGCAAATCCAGGTCTCCCATTCCCAGTGGCACTGCTCTCCTCCGCAACTCTGCCCCACGGGGTTAGGAAAGGGGTTTTGTAGCAGAGCTGCCCACCCAGCCTTGAAGAGGACCTGCTCTTCTCCTGCTTTTCCTACTGCCCTGAGCATCACTCGTTGACCATTGCCCAAGAGATGCTGATGGCGAGGTGGCCCAGGGCTTGACCCGGTGCCTCCACCCTGCTCACTCCAGCCCCTCCTGGTCCCAAACACCCTGAATCCCATCAGGAACCCACTGTCTCTTGGATCCCAGGGTCGTGCTGCCATGATTCCCCATCTGGTTCAAGCTCTGTAGGAGATGGAGGTGACCAAGGCTCATGACAGCAAAGGTTTGGAGCCTTGCCAGGCTGTGGCTGGGAGGACAGAGGACACCGTGCTTTGGGAGGTTCCTTGTGCAGACCTGCCCCATTCCCCACTCTGCCATGGGGATCCACCGGGTGGTATGGGACCCAGGGGGGCCAGGGTGCAAAACCTGCTGGGACCCAGTGCTGTGTGGTCCCTCTGATGGGCCCCACAACCCAACGTTCACTGGGGAAACCCCCTGCTGCAGGATGCCACCGATCCACATATTTACAGGGGTTGAAAAATTCATCTTGAGGGGGTGGGAAAAGAAATCCATGGGGATCCCGATGCTTTGCTTCCCCGCAGGGTTACATGAAACCACTGAAGCAGCCAGAGAACTCGCTGTTGTGTGACCCGTCGCTGGTGGACGAGATCTTCGACCAAATCCCCGAGCTGCTGGAGCACCACGAGCAGTTCCTGGAGCAGATCCACGACTGCGTGCAGAACTGGCACGAGAAGCAGAAAGTGGGCGACCTCCTCGTGCAGTCGGTAGGTCTTCGCCGGGTGGCTTTTCCCTGGGGAGCCCAGGCATGCCCGCTCTCGGGCATGGCCCCAGCAGGAGAAGTTTTGGAGCAGGAGGAAGGGGAGTGATTAAAGGACGGGCCAAACACGCCTGAGATGGAGAACAGGAGACGATCTCCAGGCCTGCTGTCTGCTTAGCGTAACGGCGGGGTGTTGCGGCGACCGACTGGGTCTGCAGCTCGGCGTTTCTGCCTCGGGAGCAGAAATGTCAGGGCTGAAAAATCGAGGGGGGCGGGGGGCAGGCGAGCCCTCCCCGAGCCAGCCCAGAGCCAGGATTAACCCTTTGGGACAGCTTCTTCCAGGTTTGCCCAGGATGTCCACGTTGGACCTATCCCCTTTTTTCCCCTCCTGTCTTTTCCCCTCCCAGTTCTCCAAGGACGTGCTGGTGAACATCTACTCCGCCTACATCGATAACTTCCTCAATGCCAAGGATGCCGTCAGGATCGCCAAGGAAGCCCGGCCGGCATTCATGAAGTTCCTGGAGGTGGGTTCCTCTCCCCAGACATGCTGGCCCAGGTCCAGAACGACCTGCAAGACTGCTGGTGAGGTGGGACTGGGGGTTAATGGGAGTAAACTGGTATTCTATGATCAGACTGGGATTTTTCCCCCCCCCGCCGCCTTGGTTTTATTGCAAAGAGGCCAGGTTGGGATGAACCAGAGTCACTCTGGATGATGTAAAAAGAAGTCACCCTGAACCCAAATGGGTGTTGCTCCAGGTCCTGGGCTGGTGGCATGCCGAGTCCCTGCTGTGTCCCACCCAAGGGGCCCATCCTTATGCCCTACCGGTGTTTTGCAGCAAAGCATGCGAGAGAACAAGGAGAAGCAAGCTCTGTCCGACCTGATGATCAAGCCGGTGCAGAGGATCCCACGATATGAGCTGCTGGTGAAGGTGGGTGTGGGTGGCCGGGTGCAGGCAGGAGGGCGTCTGTGCCATGCTGGGAGCGGGTGAGACCACGGGTCCTCCTCACTTCCACGTAACGGGAGCTTTTAGGGGTCTCGCATCTCTCCTGGCCCCTTTTCCCATCCCTTGACACAAGGTGGTGTCCCCAGGCATGTGCATGGCTCTGCCCTCCTGGGGATGGTCACCCTGAGGACTTCCCCCCTCCCCAGCATGTCCCTGAGGGTGTGCAGTCCCCTTCCTCTCTACCTTTCTGCTGGGAGGTTGGACATTGCAGCACCATTTTGGGACCAGTCGCACCGCCACCCCCTCTGTGCCTCAGTTTCCCCGTTCCAGGGTCACTCCCCGGCACTGAGGCTGGTGGGGATGTGCTTTCATAGAATCACAGAATGGTTTGGGTTGGAAGGGACCTTCAAAGACCATCTAGTCCAACGCCCCTGCCATGGGCAGGGACATTTTGCACTAGATCAGGTTGCTCAAAGCCCCGGCCAACCTCACCTTGAACCTTCCAGTGATGAATTTCGGGCGTCCATGCAAGGTAATGGTGTGCTCTGAGGAGCAGGTGGCCTCTTTAGAGGTGGCAATGACCAGGCTGGTGGTGGCCAAAGCTCAAGGCTTCATTTCTTTGCAAAACCTTTCCTACGTGGGGCTGGTTTCCATCCCCAGCAGCCAGACCAGCACGGTAGGTCTTTTGTTTAGGGGTGTCATGGCATTGCTGATGCCCAGGCTTTGCCCGTGGTGACGTCCCGGCTGTGTCCCCCGTGGTAGGACCTGCTGAAGCACACACCAGAGGACCATCCCGACCACCCTTTCCTCATCGATGCCCAGCGCAACATCAAACAAGTGGCGGAGAGGATCAACAAGGGCATGAAGAGCGCAGAGGAGGTGGAGAGGAACGCCCGGATTGTGCAGGAGATCGAGTCCCACATTGAAGGGATGGAGGACGTACGTACGAGGGTCTTACACAGAGTTGGTTTTTTCTTCTCCCCAAAATGCAACTATTTCTGATCTTTCTGGGTCACCCCAGGCTGGGCCACTTGTTTTCTCCTCCGGGTCCCACTTCCCCATCATCTCTTGGCCTTGGTCAGATCCTGGAGGTTTGAGAAGGGGCTGGGGTGCCAGGGGGCCGCAGGGGCAGGGACGAAGCCCACGAGGGTCCCCAGTCACGAGCTTCCTTGTCCCCACAGCTCCAGGCCCCACTCCGCAGGTTCCTGCGCCAGGAGATGGTCGTGGAAGTGGTAAGAGCGGGGTGGTCCCTTGTTGCTATCAGGGCCATGGGACCGCACAATGGATGGGGCAGTGGGAGGCTGTGGTTGTGGGTCATGGGGTAACTGTGTGCCCGTGGGAGGCTATAGATGGATGGATGGATGAATGGAAGCTGCATCAGGGGAAGTTCAGATTGGACATTGGGAAAAGGTTGAAGGTTCTTCACTGAGAGGGTGGTCGGTCACTGGAACAGGCTCCCCAGGGAAGTGGTCATGGCACCAAGCTGTGTAAGCCAAGTTCAAGTAGTGTCTGGACAACGCTCATAGTCATATGGTTTAGGGTTAGGAAGTCATGCAAGGAACAGGGAGTTGGACTCGATGATCCTTATGGGTCCCTTCCAACTGGAGATACTCTATGATTCTATAAAGTTGGACAGATGGATGGATGGATGGATGGATGGATGGATGGATGGATGGATGGATGGATGGAATGAAGTTTGGAAGAATGGATGGACTGATGGATGGATGGATGGGTGGATGAATGGATGGATGGGTGGATGGATGGATTGGTGAGGGATTGATGGGGACAATATAAAATTCCCCAGGTGTGTATGGGAAGATAAGATGGGTTTGGGAGCAGGCAGGAGGCATTGAGAGCCCACAGCAGCCCTGGGCCAGGGGTGGATAGGGAGGCTGGAGGTGGAGACCGCAGGGGTCCTGGTGAGCCCATGCCTGGTGTTCCCATGGCCCTGGTGCTTCCCTGTGAGTGAGACCCGTGCAGCCATTGCATCCTGTCTCCTTTCACCATCACGAGGACACAGCCGGTCCCCCATGCAGATGGTGGCGTGGGACCCGTCCCACCCTGCAGCCTCCGTGGGCCAAGGCAGTGCATGGGGAAACTGAGGCGGGGGGGGAAGGGAGGGCCGCACATTCATCCCTTGGTGTCTCCCACCACTCCTCAGAAGGCGGTGGGTGGGAAGAAGGACCGCTCCTTCTTCCTCTTCACGGACCTGCTGGTGTGCACAACGTTGAAGCGCAAGTCGGGCTCCCTCCGCCGCAGCTCCATGAGCCTGTGAGTACCACCGGGGGGGTCACCCACCATGATTCACCCACGGTGTTAGGGCTGTCCCCACCGGCTGGGCTGGCTTTAGGGTGCTGAGGACATGGGTGCAGCTCAGCCAATCGCCCCCCGAAACTTTGCAGGTACACGGCAGCCAGCGTGATCGACACTGCCAGCAAGTACAAACTGCTCTGGAAGCTGCCGCTGGAGGACGTGGACATCGTCAAAGGTCTGGCACCGCCTGCTGGAGTGTCCCATCCCACCCCAAAAACCATCCCTCACCCCTGGTTGGCGGGGAGAAGGAAGGGGTTAATGCCATGCACATGTTCCCACACAGGGGCCTCGCAAGCCACCAACCGGGAGAGCATCCAGAAAAGCATCTGCCGCCTGGATGAAGACCTCAGCACATTGGGGCAAGTCAGCAAGCTGTCGGAGACCCTCAGTTTCCCCCACCAGGTATGGGAATGATGGCCTTGGTACTGTCCCCTGGCCAGACACATTCCCCATGGGACCACCTGGGATGTTCTCAGTAAGAGGGAGAACCTGTGGAAGGACTGGTGGCCATGAGTGTCCTCAAAGGACCCAGATGCCACCAGCCCTAAAGCCACAAGAAGGGTTGGGGCAGCTTCTGAAGGGTGTTTGGAGATGCACAGGGTCAGCGTAACATGGTCGTCCTGGTGCTGTCCACCAGCAAGGCACCTTCCCCAGGGGACTGACTGGGATGTCCTTGGTGGGAAGGAGAGCCTGTAGAAGGGCTGGTGGCCATGAGTGTCCTCTAAGGGCCCAGACGCCACCAGCCCCAAAGCCACAACGGGTTGGGGCAACCTCTGAAGGAGGCTTGGGAATAGACAGGGGCATCATCACACACACGGCAGATGGTGGCCCATCTCTGAGAGCTGAAGTATTGTCCCTGTCCCCAGACCCTGGATGACGTGATCAAGGACCTGATGGCTGCCATCCACCGGGAGCTGGCAGAGAAACAATCCCTGTCCTTCAGCATGGCCTTCCCCCCCAACAAGGTGGAGCTCAGCACCACCAAAGCTGATGGCACCGAATCCTTCATCTTTGAGTTCCCCAACCCCGATGCCCGGCTCGGCTTTGAGCAAGCCTTCGAGGATGCCAAGAAGAAGCTGGGTAACACTAGGGACCGGGGAGGTGGACACAGCGGTGGGTTTGGTATCATGCCCCTCCCTCTGGTAGACCCCTTTTTCTCCATCACTTCTTCACCCTCTAATTTGATTTTCCCAGCTTCCAGCAAAAACTGCCTGGACCCAGAGTTCCTCAAGGCCATCCCCATCATGAAGACGCGGAGTGGGATGCAGGTACTTGGTGGCTGGGGTCAAGCATCCCACAGGAGCTGCGGTCCTCTCCATCCTGGTGACCTTGCCACCAGATGCCGAGAGATCCTGCGTCATTCCCGAATGAGCCGGCTCATCCCACCTTTTGCTCCTTTGCAGTTTTCTTGTGCTTCTCCCAGCCACGGCAGTCCGGAAAGCTCCCACGAGGTTTGGGTTTGCAACAGCGATGGTTACGTGGGGCAGGTTTGTTTGCTCAGCATCCGTAAGGAGCCCACGGTGGAGGCGTGCATCGCCGTCTGCTCCGCCAGGATCCTCTGCATCGCCTCCGTGCCCGGTCTCAAGCGGGCGTATAGGTAGGACATTCCCACCGGCAGCGCGGAGCCGGCGGGCATGGGGCGATGCTGGAGCTGCTTCTTTCCCCCCTTCCCCTCCCCTCGTCGCGGCAGGGAGCGTGCCGAGCCGGTGGGCAGCCCCTCCTCGGAGCCGATGCCGGCGCAGCCAGAGGATGCGGGGCCGCAGCCGTGCCTGCACATCTCCATCTCGGGTTCGTCGCTGGAGCTCTCGGAGCCGGTTGACGGTGGCAACAGGGAGCTGGTGCCCTTCGATAGCGACGACACGGATGATGAGTCCTCGCCCAGCCCCTCGGGGACGCTGCAGAGCCAAGCCAGCCACTCCACCATCTCCTCCAGCTTCGGCAGTGAGTTCCCGCTTAGCAAAAATACACTACTTTGCCCCAAAATCAGAGAATCGTAGAAGGGTTTGGGTTGGAAGGGACTTTTAAAGGTCATCTAGTCCAACCCCCTGGATTGAGCAGGGACATCTTCAAGTAGATCTGGTTGCTCAGAGCCACGTCCAACCCGACCTGGGATGTTTCCAGGGATGGGGCATCTCCCACCTCTCTGGGCCACCTGGGCCAGTGTCTCACCACCCTCAGCATATAAAATATTTTCTTTATATCTAGTCTGAGTTTACCTTCTTTTAGTTTAAAGCTATTACCCCTTGTCCTGTCACCACAGGCCCTACTAAAATGATGGGCAGCTCCATCATTTTGGCCACTGTGCCCTGCATTCCTCAGGAAATTCCACAGCTGGAGGCTTTTGAGCCAAGGAAATCCTGGGAAAAGAGATGTTGGGGGGCATCAGCCCAGCCCCATGGTGCTGGGATGGGGCTGGTGGCTTCGTTAAAACCTGATGGGTTTGGGGCCACCAATGGATTCCTATGTCTTCCCTCGGGCTTGACATCCCAAGGGGACCCATGGTCTCTTCCCCATCACTTTGGTGGGTGTCAGGTGGTCCTGTTCTGACCCATTCCTTCCTTGTCTTCTGCAGATGAAGAGATCCCAAGCTGCAAGGAGGCAACGGCAGAGACGACGAGCTCGGAGGAAGAGCAAGAACCCGGCTTCATGCCCATCACCGGCACCTACGGCCAAAACCGGCACGGCGAGAGCCCCACGGATGGTCGAGCCCTACGCCGCTCCAGCCGCGGCTCCTTCACCCGGGGAAGCCTTGAGGACCTCCTCAGCCTTGACCCTGAAGCGCATCAGAGCTCCATGTGGCTGGGCACCGAGGATGGCTGGTACGTCCTCAGGATGGGGACACACACACTTGGGGTGTACCCTGATCTCAGGTGAGCCTCAAACTTTGCTCGTCTCCTACAGCATCCATGTCTACCAGTCCTCGGACAACATCCGTAACAGGAAGAACAGCATGAAGATGCAACACGCGGCTGCCGTCATGTGCATCTTGTAAGTGGAGAAGAAGGTTTTTGGCTCTGCGGTGTCCACAGTGAGGTGGTTTGGAGTGGCTGAGTAGGGTTCTGCGACCGATTATCCAAGGGTTTTTCTCTCCGCAGGTACCTCGATAACCAGGTTTTCGTGTCGTTGGCCAACGGGGAGCTCGTTGCGTATCAGCGGGAGGCAGGTGAGGCTGGATCGGGGCCATCAGAGGGTGCTGGGGGGGTTAAACACGTCCCCAAAGCGGTGACTGGTGGGTGCTTGGGCAGCTCCCCAGGGAGGGATGCTCGGGGTGCCGGTGGCTTCCCTGCCTCCACAGGAAGGGACATCCTTCAAGCGATTCTGAAGACCTCAAAATCGGAGCCAGGAGGAGGCCTGCATCCTCCTCCTGGTCCCTGCCTGCTGCTGGCATCCCCTGGGGACATCAGCTCATGTCCCCTGTCATGGGGGACCTGGAGTTGGGCATCTCCAGCCACTTCATCCCATCGGCTGGGTCAAGATAGGGGTTTTGGGGGGGGATGCTTTAACTACCTGCCCCATTCCCACCACCCTCACAGGCCGCTTTTGGGACCCCCAAAACTCCAAGTCCCTGTCCCTGGGCTCGCCGGGGAGCCCCATCACCAAGATGGTAGCGGTGGCGGGGAAGCTGTGGTGTGGCTGCCAAAACCGGGTCATCGTCCTCAACACCGCCACGCTGGCGCAAGAGGTACCGCGGGCGATGGCGGGAGGTCGGGAGTTGGGGGGACCGGTGATGGGCATGGGTGGCATCATCAGCGGCATCGCTGTGGCTCTCTGTCCACCCCGCAGCACACACTCCAGGTGGGACAGGACGGCGGGCGCAGCGTCACCTGCATGGTGAGCGCAGGGACAGGCGTGTGGGTGGCGCTGCAGAGCAGTGCCCAGGTCCGGCTTTACCACGCCACCAGCTACGAGCAGTTGGCCGAAGCGGATATCACCCCTCCGGTACACAAGATGCTCGCCGGTAAGTCCCACCGGTGACAGGTCTCCCGGTGGGTGGCCGTCGTTGTCTCCGGTGGGTACCTGTGCCCATAGTCTGCCTTGAAAATGCCATGCCCTGCCGCATCCGGCACTGGGAATATTAATATCTCCTGCATCCCCATGAGCTTTAGGGAAGGACACCCGACTTGTCACGCTCGTGGGGTTCATCCTCGGTGTTCTGAATCCCACGGGGAAATAGGGCAGGCGCTGGGCAGACGGATAATCCCATGCAGGAACAGGGCATCATTGTAATCCCCATAACAGGGAATCCCCCAGGTGGCTTCATAATCCCATACAGGAATAGGGCATCCCCCAGGCGTGTGCGTAATCCCATGCGGAAATCAGGCAAACCCTGGGCAGCTGCATAATCCCGAGCGGAAATAGGGCGGCTCCTGGGTGGCGGTGTAATCCCATGCAGGAATGGGGCAGCCCTTGGGAACCTGCATAATCCCACAGGGTAACAGGGCATCCCCTGGATGGCTTCATAATCCCATGGGGTGATAGGGGAGCCCCTGGGTGGCTTCGTAATCCCATGAGTTAATAGGGCAGTCCATGGCTGGCTGCATAATCCCACAGAGAAACAAGGCAGCCCTGAGTGGATGTATAATCCCACAGGGTAATAGGGCAACCCCTGGCCGGCTTCATAATCCCGTGCAGGAATAGGGCAGCCCATGGGTGTATTCATAGTCCCACACAGGAATTGGGTAGTCTCGGGGCAGCTGCATAATCCCACAGGGAAATAGCGTAGCCCTGGGCATGTGTGTAATCCCACAGAGAAATAGGACAACACTTGGGGTAGCTGTATAATCCCACAGTGTAATAAAATAGCCCCCGGGTGGCTGCAAAATCCCATGTGGAAATAGGGCGGCGCCATGGCAGCTGCATAATCCCATGTGGAAATAGGGCGGCGCCATGGCAGCTACATAATCCCATGTGGAAATAGGGCGGCGCCATGGCAGCTGCATAATCCCACCAGATAATGGGGCAGCCCTATGGCAGCTGCATAATCCTATGTGGAAATAGGGCAGCCCCATGGCAGATGTGTAATCCCACCGGGTAACAGGGAATCTCCTGGATTGCTGCATAATCCCACGTGGAAATAGGGAAACCCCTGGGCAGCTCTAAAATCCCATGGGGTAATAGGGCGTCCCCTGGATGGCTTCATAATCCCATGTGGGACTAGGGCAGCCCTATAGCAGCTGCATAATCCCACTGGGTAACACGGCATCCCCTGGACCGCTGCATAATCCCACATGGAAACAGGGAAACCCCTGGGCAGCTGCATAATCCCAGGTGGAAATAGGGCAAACCCTGGATGGCTTCATAATCCCATGTGGGAATAGAACAGCCCCTGGGTAACCTCATAATCCCACGGGGAAATCAGGCAGCCCAACTTGGCAGCACCCAAGGGTGCCTTTTACCAGCCGGGGTGGGGTAGTTTGTGGGGTCCCTTCCCCATATCCCACGTCCATCCCAAATACCTTTGGGAACGGAGACGGGTGACATCGGTGGGGTTAACCGCCCCGTGCCGGGGCAGGGAGGGATGCTGACGGCTGGGATGCTCGACAGGTTCGGATGCCATCATCCGGCAGCACAAAGCGGCGTGCCTGCGGATCACGGCTCTCCTGGCGTGTAAGGATTTGCTGTGGATCGGGACCAGCGCCGGCGTGGTGTTGACCCTCGCCGTCTCGGCCAAGGCGGCCCCGGTACTGGTGGGGCTTTCCCAAGGTCACACCGGTCACGTCCGCTTCCTCACCGCCATCGAGCTGCCCGACGGCTTCGACGTCCTCTTCCCGTTGCCGAGGGAGACGGGTAGGTGGGATGATGGCGGGGTGGGGGGGGGCCAATCCTGACCCACTTCTTTTTTTTATGGGGTGGGGAAGGCTGTCCCGTTGGCGGATAACTGGGCGGTCATCATGCCTTGAAATGGTGGTCATCAGCATCCCCGCTCCGTCCTCGTCTCATTAAAATCCAGGGAGAAAAATTAGGGGGGTGGGGGGAGAAGGGGGGAATTAGGGGCTAAATTGCCGTGTCACTTGCTCGAGTGACCCCAGATTTCCCTTGGAGGCCCTAATTCCCGTCAGGAAAAGCCATCGGAAAGTCCCATGTTGAGTCTTGCCCAGCCCAGTTCTAAATTGGCGGTGGGATGGGGAGAAGGCGGCGATGGCTGGTGGGGGGAAGGTGGTAATTTGGGTGGGAGGGGCTAATATGGGTGGGAGGGGTTAATTTGGGGTGGGCGAGGCTACTTGGAGATGGAAGGAGTTTTTTGGGACCAAGATGTGGCACCTGGGAAAGTGGTGGTGACATACGGAAGATGCTGGTGGGAGGATACTGGGATGATGGTGGTGGGATGATGTTGGGATGGTGCTGGAAGGATGCTGGGGGGATGACAGTGGGATGCTGCTGGTGGGATGTTGTTGGGATGATGCTGGGAGGATGCTGGTGGGAGGAGGATGCTGGGATGGTGCTGGTGGGAGGATGCTGGTGAGATGGTGCTGGTGGGAGGATGCTGGGATGGTGCTGGTGGGATGCTGGTAGGGTGATGCTGCTGGGACAATGTTGGTGGGAGGATGCTGGGATGCTGCTGGTGGGATGTTGTTGGGATGACGCTGGTAGGGTGATGCTGCTGGGGTGATGCTGGGATGCTGCTGGTGGGATGGTGCTGAGATGCTGCTGCTGGGATAATGCTGGTGGGATGCTGCTGGCATGATGATGCTGGGATGCTGCTGGGGTGATGCTGGGATGGTGCTGGTGGGATGCTGCTGGGGTGATGCTGCTGGGACAATGTTGGTGGGAGGATGCTGGGATGCTGCTCTGGAATGATGCTGCTGGGATGATGTTGGGATGATGCTGCTGGGATGATGCTGGGATGATGCTGCTGGGATGATGATGGTGGGACGCTGCTAGGATGGTGTTGGTGGGATGATGCTGGGATGATGCTGCGATGCTGCTGCTGTGTTGCTGCTGCTGCGATGATGCTGCTGGGATGATGTTGGGATGATGCTGCTGGGATGATGAGGCTGAGATGATGCTGATGAGGAACAGGGGAGCTGCGGGGGGGGTCGTCTCACAGCACGTTTGGGTTCTTCCTGTGGCAGGGGCCGAGAAGCCGAGCGAGGCAGAGAAACGAGACCCCTCGCGCCCCCGCGCCCCCACCCTCGCCCTCTCCAAACCCAAGATGTTGGTGATCAGC